TATTTATTGAGCCTTGCTCTGTGGCCTAACATAATCTATCATGGACAATGTTCCACATGCACTGGAAAAGAATGTATATGTGCTGTTGTTAGGTGAAGTGCTTTGTAGATGTCTACAAGGTCAAGTTGGTAGATTGTATTGTTTAATTCTTGTGTGCCTTTGTTGAGTTTCTTCCTGTTGTTCTATCTGTGGTTGAAAATGGTGTGTTAGCATAGTGTAGGTTCAAACCCACCAGCCACTCCTCGGAAAGAAGATGGGGCAATATACTTCTGTAGTGATACTGCCTTGGAAACCCAAGGAGGGGTCACTATGAGTCGGGTCCGACTTGACAGCACATAACAACAACAACAACTATGACTGTGGAGTCATCTATTTGTCTTTTCAGTTCTGTTAGAGTCTGGTTTATGTATTTTGGGGCTCTTTCATTGGGTGCATAGATAATTATTATTATTGTTATTATTATGTCCTCTTGTTCAATCGATCCCTTCAGTCATTATATATCATGTCCTTCCTTCTCTCTTATGTTGGTTTTTGTCTTAAAGTCAATTATATCAAAAATTAATATTCCCATTCCTGCTCTTTTATGGTTGCTATTCGCTTGATACATCTTTTTCCAACTTTTGATTTTTATTCTCTTTTTGTCTTTCTCTCTAAGGTGTCTCTCTTGTAGATAGCATATTGATGAATTATGTTTTCTTGTCCAGTCTGCAACTCTCCCTTCTCTTAGGTGTGGTGCATTTTAATCCATGGACATTCAGTGTAATTATCGACAAGTATGAATTTGTTGTCATTTTGTTCCATGTTTTTTTGTGGTGTAGCAACACAAACTTCTTTGTTCTGTATAATTTTCTGTGCTGAGCTTGTTTTATGAACAGTGTTATCATTTCCTTCGTTGCTGTTGTTTTAGTATTTGCTAAATATTTGTGCTTGTCATCTTTTTTATTGTGATTTGAAGGTTTATCATTTTTCTTTGAGGTTACTCTGTAGTTTATAATTTTCTTCCCAAGTTTAGAACAGTCCGTTCTATCTTGCAGTTGGCTTGATTTCCCTACCATTTAGAAGTTCTATAACTACAGTTTTTTCCTTCTTTTTGGTTTGTGGTTGTCCTCATTTGTCAGTTGATACCTCTGGTTCCCTTTTTATAATCTTGTAGACTTATTATTTACTTTGGATACTTCCATAACTGGGTTATGTCATCATGTGTGTTAATGATTGGTTGTTGTGTCTCTGTCTAAAGGACTCTCTTTCTATTGTGTTTCACAGGACAGAAAGCATGTAGGATGTATGTAAGCACGTATGATGCTCTCTTTAGCATCTCTTGGAAGGTTGATCTGGTTTCAACAAATTTCCCTTAATTTCTGCTTATCTGGAATTGTCCTAATTCCACCATCATATTTGAGGGACAGTTTTTCTGGGTATATAATTCTTGGTTGGAAATTTTTTTCTTTCAGTGTTTCATATATACCATCCCATTGTTTTCTCACCTGCATGGTTCCTGATGAGGAATCTGAACTTAGTCTTATTGGTTGCCCCTTGTAGGTAACTTTCTGTTTTTCCCATGCTTTCAGAATTCTTTCTTTGTCTTTGGTTTTGGTGAGTTTGATGATGGTATGCCTTGGTGATTTTCTTTTGGGGTCTATTTGTTCAAGGTTCGTTGGACTTCTTGAATGGATATATTCTCATCTTTCACCATACCAGGGAAATTCTCTTCCAACAGATCTTCAGCAATTTTCTCTGTGGTTTTATTTGTCTCTTCCTGTTCTGCAATTCTGATTACACTTAGGTTATTCCTTTTGATGGTATGCCACATGAACCTTAGGCTTTCTTCATTTTGTTTTGTTCTTTTTTTCTGATTCATCCCCTTCCAAAAAAAAGTGTTGAGGTATTTTTCTGCAATCTCATTAATTCTGTCTTCCATTGATATTAATCTTCTGGATTTCTATCTGTATTTTGTACATTTCTAATTTTTCATTTATTTAGTCATTTTGTTCTTGTATTGTCTTTTGAAATTTTTCTAGGGTTTTCTGTGTTTTCCTGAATTTTGTCAGTGTTTTCCTTGATCTGTCTCTAGATCTGTTGAATGTACCTAAATATAATTATTTTGAATTCCTTATCAAGAAGTTCTAATGCTGCTGCTTCCTCAGGGATGTGTTCTAGGTCTGTATCCTGGTCCCTTGTTTCTCTTCCTTTATCTTGCTTCTTTCTGTGGAATGTGATGGTCTGTTGTCTCCGAGACATTGTAATGTTTTTGTGTTTATATTTAATTGGTGATTGTATGTTAGAGTGATTTGCCGAAGATTTTTGTTTACTTTGGATGTTATCTATGTAAGCAAGGTACTGTGCTGCTCTATTCACTAGTTGGCAGCACTTACACACTCACCACCTGTCTGCTTTCCTGTTGTCAGCTTCCCATATGTCCTTGCTGTCCTTGGCAAGCAGAGCCTATTCTTAGGTTCCTGGAATCTGAATGAGAATGCTGTCACTTTAAATGTCCAAATGGCTGTCGCTTGTAAACAATAAAAATGGTTGCGCCCTCTGGACAGCCGAAAAGTGCACATCTTAGGTTATCTCCCTCTTTGCTGTTTCTCTTCCTAGTCATCGGCCACCAATGCAGTCGTACCTGCAGCTCTTGGTGACCAGGGCTGATCTTGAGGTCAGTTCTCAGGTCCCAGTATCACTTGGATATTCAGGCTGTTGTTGATGTCAGAGTAGCTGACAGTCCGCAGTTCTGTCCATCTCTGTACTGTTGTTTTCATTCAGGTTCTTCCACTACTTGATGCCTAATCCACTTCTGTATAATTCCTTTCAAAGCTCAGAGCTCAATGATTATCTTCAGTATCTCTGTCACTTGGTTTCTGTTTTCTCTGCTGAAAAGGGTCTGTGTAGCTTGTCTGCCTATTCCATCATTTTACCCAAGTCCTGAGTTTATGTGATGTTTTCTTATGATTAAACTGAGGTTATGGATTTTGGGGGTAGAATACCACAGCATTGTGTGTCTTTCTCATTACATCATATCAGGGAGTACATATCAGCATGACAACATTAGTGACTTTGAGTACTTGGTTGAAGTGGTTTCCAGGTTTCTCCCGTGTAGAGTTACCATTTTACCCTCTTTGTAGTTTCTTGGTAGCAAGATGCTAAGTCCACTTCACATTCAGTGGAGGGGAAAGAAGCTCTTCCAGGGGTGCACAGCAAAGAATTCGGCCTCCTACTCTGTCTTGTGTGGTTGCTAGGAGTCATAATCGGCTCGATGGCATTGGGTTCTCTTCACCATTGCGTCTTCTCTTTAGCCTTTGTTAAACTACTGAGTGATGGAGAAGAGAAAGCAAGGGAAATAAGATTAATCAGCCTAGGCTGAAATCAGGTTTTTAAGCATACATACATCCTACATGCTTTCTGTACTGTGAGAACTCATCAAACTCAGAACATACAAATTGACCTCTGAATCATTCCCCATCATCCTTTAGATCATCATTTCCCTCTTGGCCTCATAGCACCTCTCACCTCGCCTTCACTGCTCAGTGCATTGTTGGGCCCTTTTATTCCATTTCCAGAGAAATTTTCTGCAGCTGCAGAGTGACGAGTGGGTCATAAATCATCTGCTGCTTGCTTTCGTGGCTAATATAACATAATATGCAGGGGTTTTTGTTTTGTTTTTTGTTCCAAAAATAATCTTGTGTTAGAAGGAAATGCTGCTTTTACTTGAATTAATAGGCTATATGGGGACTAAGTCTAAGGCATTTGACTGCTAACCAGAAGGTTGGCGGTTTGAATCCACCAGCCACTCCACAGAAGAAAGACAGGGCAATCTACTTCCATAAAGATTCATTGCCTTGGAAATCCAGTGGGGGTTGCTGTGAGTTGGGATCAACTCACAAAATCAGATTTGGTTTTGGTTTTGATGGGGATGAAGACATTAATGAAATTATACAACCACTTGAATTATCTAGAAATAAGAGCTAATGCAATTTGCAAATTGCAGGCATTATTTCAGGTGCTTTTCATATATTCACTTAATCTTTACAAAAACTTTTGATGAAAGTAGTAGTATTCTCATTTATATTATCAGGAAACTAAGGTTAAATAATTTGCCTGTGGTCACATAAGAAACAAAACCACTGACATCAAATTAATACCAACTCATAAAAAACCAGGAATCTGACTCTGAGGACATTGCTCTTAACTACTGTGTTACTACCTCTGTTCTAAATGAGTGATTGTAAATTGCTGCTTTTTCATTTTTTAAAGGTTTAGAATCTTTTTCCTTTCAACTTGAAATATGCCAGGCTTTGTGCTAATAACTGAGGTTATAAAGAATAATATGTGGCCCTTTCCCACATTAAGCTAAAGAAGAGTTTATTAGTTTATATTTAGTAGCTTGCTAAAAAGTCAAGTTTAAAACAATTTTGATCTGTTAGATTTTTTTAGTGGCTTCTTAGTTTACTTAGAGGAGCTCTGGTAGCGTAGTGCCTAAGGCACTTGACTGCTAACCAGAAGGCTGGCGGTTCAAACCCACCAGCCACTCCTAGGAAGGAAGATGGGGCAATCTACTTCTGTAGTGATACTGCCTTGGAAACCCAAGGGAGGGAGGGGTCGTTGTGAGTCCGGTCCAACTCAACGGCAAATAACAACAACAATAGTTTACTTAGTGCTGCTGGAACTCAAATACCATAGGGGGGTGCTTTTTGTTTTGTTTTGTTTTGAATTTTTATTGTGATTTGGGTGAAAGTTTACACAGCAAATTCATTTTCCATACAGCAGTTTACATACACTGTCTCATGACATTGACTGCAATTTCCCACAGTGCATCAGTTCTCTTCCCATTTCCTCCCCATAGTTAGCTCTTCCCCGTGTCCTTCCCTCCCATGCATTCCTGCCCCCCAGGCTGTCTCTCTGTGCGTACACAGCCATTCTATTCTCCCATGACTGAAACACTCAATCCAAAATAAATGATAGAGAACTGCTGCATGGTAATTTTTACTGTCCCTTTCTGTTTGTAGGGAAGCAGCACGAGAGTGTAGAAGAAAGAAGAAAGAATATGTGAAATGTTTAGAAAACAGAGTGGCAGTGCTTGAAAACCAAAACAAGACACTGATTGAGGAGCTAAAAGCACTTAAGGACCTTTACTGCCACAAATCAGATTAATTTGGGATTTATTTTCACCACTAAAGGTGGAAAAAGGACTGGCTTGGCCACAACCAGTAAGACAAAAATAAACATTTTATTTTCTAAACATTTCTTTTTTCTATGCGCAAAACTGCCTGAAAGCAACTACAGAATTTCATTCATTTGTGCTTTTGCATTAAACTGTGAATGTTCAACACCTGCCTCCACTTCTCCCCTCAAGAAATTTTCAGCACCAGGAATCATGAAGAGACTTCTGCTTTTCAACCCCCACCCTCCTGAAGAAGTAATAATTTGTTTACTTACAAATTGATGGGGAAAAATGAAAAAACCTTCTAAAATATTATTTCAAGGTTTGTGCTGAACTCTTTGATTGCCTTAGGGACAGAATTACCCAGCCTCTTGAGCTGAAGTAATGCGTGGGCCACATGCATAAAGTAAGTAAGGTGCAATGAAGAAGTACTGATTGCCAATTGACGTGTTTTTCACACTTTCATTGTGAATTAAGTGAAATTGTTAATACCCTCTAAAAAAGAATCACTATGGTGTTGAAGAAATTAGGAATGAATTTGGAGTGTTTCTGTGTACATTCTCTTCCTCAACTAAAAACTTGTCCTGGGTTCTTAAAAATATTCTGTACTAATGACAGCTCTTCCATAGGTCAGTTGTTGCTTCTTAGTTCTATTCTGTATGTGTTCACTGTTTTGAATGCATTAAAAGAAGTAACCAACTGAACGTACAAGCATGATTATTTAAATTTTAAATCAAAGGACAGTAAAAGTACAAAGCTTATGTTTTAGTTAGTACTAAATTCTTAATAAAAAGATGCTTAGTAGTAAACCAACCCATTGAATAATAGAACAAAGTTTTTAAATAAATGTTTTTGTCCTCACCTTCAAAAATATTTATATTGTCACTCATTTACTTAAAAGGGCATTTCTATAATTATACTGTTCCCCTTTGCACTTACATTGTACCACCACCAGGAAAGCCTTCAAGATACTAAATAAGCCAAATGATATATTTATGAAATGTTATGGGTTGTAGAAATATACTAATTATAAGTCTTTCCCACACTAACATACCTTAACAGAGTATAACTCTAGTGAAATTTTTTAAATGAAAAAATCTGTAAGGAGTTCTGAAGCATACAATGTTACATAGGCACCAGGAAAGTCATTTTTTTTTTCAGATACATTTCATAGTTTCTGTACTGCAGTATTTGGATTGTCATTCACAAAACCTTTATTTGTAGCCTCTAAAAAGGGTAGCTATACTTAAGCTTCTGAATATGCTATATAAATGTCATGGCTACCTGTTTTAATTCCTGAATGTAACAGTCTATTTGTGTGTATCATGTATTATTTCCAATACTGCAGTTAATTATTAATTATTTTATTCACTGAGACTCATTAGTCTAAAAGTTGTCTTTTAAAAGAAAAATACTAAGGTAGATTTACAAAATTGGAGACTGACAAGTTTAATTATAAGTATTTCACTTGATAAGGGAAATCTTTTTAAAAATGTCAAAAAACGTGGAAAATTAATGTTTCATAATGACTTGGAGATTTAAAGTTAAAAAGTTAAGTTTGTTAATATAACAAGATATGCAGGTATGAGTATTATTGGGTCCATTTTGAAAAGTAGTATATAATTTTAATATTTGTAAATGATATAGTTTTGTTTATAACAAACCATTGTCTTTTTTCAAGGATGAACAAAGTTTATGAAGGAGCATCATTCTGAGAATTAAGTGATATAGTCTTTATATTTGGACAGTTCACCAGATTCTCAAGGCGGCTTTCAAACGACTGTAAAATTTTGATGTTTATCCTGCTGAGCTAATGGGGAAAGTTACAGCATAAAAATTGTTTGTATACCAGCATAGATTATCAAGTGAAATCACAGAGCTGTTCACAAGCTAGAATTCTCTCCTAATGAGTCAAAATGTCATATGGAACATTTTTGAACATTTTGAATGCCATAAGCTTTACAAATGAAAGTTGCTTGGTATTTATCAAGTTTTATTCTCTAAAGTTTCATGTGTTTCAAAAGAGGCTTTCTGTTTAATTAAAAAAATGAGTTGGTGGTCCTTTTAATCCCTGATAATCAAGGACATCACATTTATGCTTTGCTGGTGAATTTTAAGTTTTAACGACCTGGTCCTTTATATCTTGAGGGTGATTGCACTGGTTTAAAGTCAGTTAATGGTGAGATGAGAAATGTATTCTGTTGCTGATCCTATTTCAGACCCTTGAATAGACTTGAAGATTTCAGTTTATACAAATAGAAATCAAGCATCTTTTTTGCAGACTTTTTTTAAAAAAAGAGAATTGGAAAAGGTGTTTGTTTTTTAAGCATGCAAATTTGAGAAGCTTTATTAAGAAAATGACATAATAATAATAAAAAAATATATATTGTAGCCAAGAACGTATGTGGCCATGTTACCAGTAATAAATGTTTTTTTTCTTCATATTGGCCAAAAGGGAATGAAAATTTCACCATAGGAATCTGTACATACGCTACTGATTTGCTCTAGAAAATAGCAAGTTTGGTATTGCTCACTTTACAAATATAAGGCCATGTGGCACTTTTATCTATAGGACAGATAACTCTAATGAAAATGAAGTGGGTAGGGGTTTATTTTTGATATATTACTCTTTTGAGTTTTCAAGCTTTGATAGTGTTTAACTGAAAAGTGGTTTTAGAAAGGGCTAGATCCAATGTGTTCATATTAAAAAATTGGTATCAGATACATTTAAGTTTTTCAAACTCAAGTACCATATTGGCAACCACAATATTGTCATAGGTGCTCTTTTCATTTGGATATTCTTAGGGAAATGACATTTGTATAATGTATGTGTACATAGATATATATTTACACAGTATATAACCTGGAGCTCTAAGAGCTCACACGTCAGGAATGCTGAGTATTATAGTATATTGAGGTCAGATGAAATTTTACATTTTTGTGTGTTGTATTGCATCTCTTTTGGTAGTTTCTTGGCTGTATTACTCCAGCACTCATGATTGATTATCTTCTAGTTTCCTTCCAAGTATTTTTTTAGTTACTGTTACTGTTTTCTTTGGCTTCATACTTTTAAATGTGTTATTAGTCACTTGAAAACTTCCCCAAATAAGTATTCGGTTTTTATGCTTTCTCTCTGGCAGCTGTAAGAATGGTGAGAACATTTTGAAGACAGCTTTTGAAAGGAACCAGATTTTTCAAAAATCATCCTGGGGGAGGGATTCTGGTGTTTCATTTGAGCAGGGATTTTGTCAGAAAATGCATTTTGATGGGAGGTCAGCAGCATTGCTAGTATCTGAAAGCACAATACCAGTCAGACAGGCCTTCCGATCCAAAGTATCTGGCTGAAGTTTATCTCTGTCTCTCAGGCCTAATCCCGACTGTCATTTTGACCATTTGGGGTGATAGGTGGAATCATACAAAGGCTTAGGAAGGAACAAGTTTGTTTAAACCAGGGTGCTTTACTTACTTGAAATGATTTCAATCTATATATTTCTTCTTTTTGTGTTTTAATCTTTTTAATTCTGTCATCAGCTACAGAATTAATTATACTGTTTGAATAAATTGGTCTCTTTGTTTTGAAGATCAAAAGCCTGCTTCATTTTGCAGGATTACATAAGGCTAATATCTTAAAGTTAAGATTTCGAATTAAAGTGGGTTTTAGAAACAGTAGTTACAGACTTTCTCAGTTATTATCAAGAGGCTTTATTTTGTTACCTTTATAGCCCTGAAAACTGTTGGTATATTGTTTCCCATTGACCTAATACGAAAGTTTATATTTATTTGGATTATATTTACATTATATTCTTTGTAATGTTTGGTGTAACTTGCACTTTTAAAAATGACCCAGTTTGGGTATTAGCAACTTGAGAAATTCCCTCATCAATTAAATGTCAACTCATTTTTTTGTGTCTTTCTCCTTCAAATCATGTAACTTTTTTAATGAACCTTTTCATTGATTAAAATATTTTAGCACCTAAAGGCTAGCCTTAAAAATAGTTTAAAAAAAAAAATTAGATTTGACTAATAACCCTATTAAGTAAAAGTTGGACTTGAACCATATTTTATTCTTTTTTTTTTATCACGAATAAAGATAGAAGGAAAAGTAACTCAAATGAATAATAGTTATTTCCAATTTTAAATGAGACTTTAGTTCTCACCCCAACATTAATACTGCTTATGGGATACCAACCAGCCACTCAGCCACTCCTTGGAAGGAAGATTTGGCAATCTACTTCTGTAGTGGTAACGCCTCGGAAACCCAAGGAGGGGTCACTATGAGTCGGATCTGACTCCACAGTAGTGAGTTTGGTTTTTTTGGTTATAGGATACCAAAATACCCATGAATATGTCCAGAACAGGGAGTTCTGGTGGTGTAGTAGTTAAAGCATTTGGCTGCTAAGCAAAAGGTTGGCAGTTTGAACCTACCAGCCACTCTACGCAAGAAAGATGAGGCAGTCTGCTTCTGTAAAGATTACAACCTTAGAAACCGTATGTGGCAGTTCTTCTCTGTCCTCTAGGACACTATGAATCGGAATTAACTTGACAGCAGTGGGTTTGGTTTTTCTGTCCAGAACAGTAAAATATCTTTTAAAACAATTAATTATTGTCATAGAGACTACGTGTAATAATTTGTCTGAATTTCTTTCATTTTAAATTGACTTTGTTAACATCAAAGAAGTGCTGCGTAAATTAAACTGATTTCAGATGAAAAGGAAAGTGAAGTGTGCTTAGTAAGCCTGCAAGTAAAGAATTGTTGGATAAATTTGTTCACTTAGTTGGACAAAGCACAAGAACTTTTCGCTGGGTGGCTTGGATATATCTTGAATTATTTAAAATGTTGGTAATGTTGACTTTTTAAAATTGCATAGTCACTGTATGTACTTGGAACTGGTTTTCCTTGACTTTCTAGAATCAATGGCTAGGAGAGGCACTAATCCCTGAGGGGTTTGAACATATCATGAAGCTGAGCCAGTATGGAAGAATTTCAAATAAACAGGGTGCTGAAGTTCCATCTGTCTCATCCGCTTATGATAAGTTCTTATCGATTAGTGAATGTAGCTTAAGCCTTTGTATGTGTCCTCAGGGGGCAGATAAACTTAAGAGGGACCAGATGATGTTTGAATGGAGGGATTACATTTCAGGTGTTTTAGCTTGAAATTTATTTTTTAAAAAAAGAAGAAAAATAATTAAAAAAATAAATAGAACAAAGCCTGTGAAGCAAGTTGATATTATAAACAGGCAGAGTTGTTTAGCACAGAGAGAAAATATTGACCTGTCTGCATTCTGGTACTGTGGGTGCAGGTCCTAGCTGGGGTATAATGATACATTTTGAATTATTCTCACCAGCAAGTAAAAGGAAAATGAACAATCCTCAGGAAATGTCTTTGAAAAAGGTCAAATGGTAGGAAATTCAAATCTTACCTACTTTTACACAGGCATTATTTAATACTTGCTTTAGAACGATGGCATTTCCAAGCTTCTGTCCAACTGAGGAGCATCACAGAAATGTGAGAGTAAATCTTTGAGTATAAAAATTGATAGGGAAGGAGGAAAATCCCTGAAGTTAATGATCTTACATTAGTTGGCCAAGTGAAATGATCAATCATTGTGTTTGGACAGTTTTATTTTCTTATGTTTTTAAAATTGAATTGGTAAATGCTTTATAGATGCTGTATTTTTATCCAGGTGCCACTCCAATTTGTGTATGTAATAAAATTATTTATATAAAAGTGAGATTTGTCAACATTTTTCTGTTAGTATAGATTTATTAGGGGTGGCTAAGAAGAGTGCTAGTCAGCAGTTTTCCATGTAAAGTTGTCCCTGACTAATTTGTCTACATGTCAGTTGTCATTCCCCTAAAAAAGGAATTACTTCTAATCCAGATATATTGCTTAAAACTTTTTAGAAACAGAATAATCAGGGAAGTTTCTAGAGAGAAAAGTGTTTGGTTTTTGGGTTTTTTTTTTTTTCCTTGAGGATTGGGGTAAAGAAATACCTCCCCCCAAAACTTATCAGCACAAAACAGGGTATTGATTTTGACTCTGATGTTTCTATTGGAGTTAAATGATAAATAACTATAATGAGGGAAATACATTTCTAATAAAATTTCCTACATTCTAGAAACATCCCTGTTTTAATTTTTTTATCTAAATTTTTTGTGCTTTATCTGTATAAAGAGAAAAAAAATGTACTGAGTTATAATGCATTTTATTAACACTATGTACATATTAGCTGCTTTTGTGTTCAGAATGATAGCAATTGCTTTGTATATTAAAGTGATCCTTGTGAATTTGTGAAATATTGTCATAAAGTGCTTTTTCTTACTGTAATCTTTGTGGTATCGACTGTCGTAATGCCCTTTTTACACAAACATTTATGTGCAGTCATATAAACAT